GTTTATGTGTGTGTGTACGTCTGTTTGTGTGTGTGTGTGTGTGCGTGTGTGTGTGTGTGTGTGTGGAGATGTGTGCGTGTGTGTGTGTGTGCCTCTGCTTGTATGTGTGTGTGTGTGTTCCTGTTCGTGTGCAAGTGTGCTTCTGGTTGTGTGTGTGGTCTTGTGTGCGAAACACATTAAGTAACGCTCCAAGGCATGTGACGTGCACTCCATGCCATTGATTTGTCAGGGACACAGCCAAAGGATACGGCAACAATTCGCAATTCTTTCCTGTCAGCTCCGAGTAATCATCTGCTATAAGCCATAGAGTCGATGAAAAGACCTAGACTGGACGCAACAAGGCATAGGACAATAAACAACATCAAAGGCACATAGGCTGGGAGGCGGGTGGGCAGCATGGAAACATAAAGGATTGCAGCCTGCAGGGCAAAAGGTAGCAATCGAAAAGGCAGCGAGGCAATAAGGCACTGGATGACATAGGACAACAGGGGACGGAGGTTGGCGGGCATGGGGGAGGCGAGAGGACAGTTAACACACATGCACACACAAAGTGGGGAAAATGCAACAAACAACAGAAAAGAAAAACTACCATCTTCCCGCGAACACAACGCACCCTCATTTTGCCTGTATCGGGCCGGAAACATACCTTGTATACGTTCATTTTCAGGGTGCGTTATGTTCGGGGGAAGACGGGAGCACAACACTCATGCACACACAAAGTGGGGAAAATGCAACAAACAACAAACAAGAGAAAAGAAAAACTAGCACGGATATAAATATAAATATAATAGGGACATTCTGTGGGGGAAAAAAAAAAAAAACAGAAAGAAGGAAAGAAAAGAAAAGAAAAGAAAGACTAGCACGGGCAAGAAAAGCAGCAAGGCAGAAGCAATGACGCAACACGTAGGCTGGAGGGCACGGGGGAGGTGGGTGGGAAGCCGCGACATCGGAGCTGGCCAGGATGACATAAGACAACTACCAGCAAACAAGGAGTAAAGTCCCAAAAAGAACAAACACCCGAAAAAACAAAAACTGATGATGGTAGATTGTTACGTCGCACTTCCAGCGACTCATCAGGAGGCTGAATCTGACTATCTGCGGAATCCCCATATTGATGCTTTGGGTCATGAACCGTTTGACCCTTGCTGAGAGCAGACTGCCGGCACGCAACACCATGAGCGGAACATAGCAGCAGGCGATGACTCAGCTGAGCACACCAGGCAACGCTGCCGGGGCAACCCAACTGCACAATGCGAAAGCTAGCTGCATGGAACCACAGTGCAAGCAGACGGGCAGCATGGCAGCAACACAGTGAAGTACAAGGCGACACTGCTAAAGCAGGCAAACCACACTGTGCACAAGCAAAGTACACAAGAAGACAAGGCAATAGTGCAGCGAAGCACAAGGCAACACCAAGAACGCACTCGAAGGACACGGCAAACACACCAGCTGCAAAGAGCAAGAGGGGGAGCAAGGGGGATGGCTAGCAAGGCAGCGGCGGAGCATAGACAAGGCGTTCCACACATCCAACACGGAGCTAAGCAGTACAGCACCTACTCACACCACCTTCTTCACCCGAATACAACGTACAGTCATTAGAGCTGTATTTCAGGTATCTTTCAGTCTAAATACAGAGATAATGACCGTACGCTGTATTCGGGTGAAGAAGGTAGCAAACCGCACAGACTGTTGGTCCCCACCACCTGCTGAGCCGCGGACGCAATCCGGCGAATGTCCGCCATCACCAGTGGGAAACACAGACATCCTGAACTGAGCGGCCCGCCGAATATTGCTTCAAACAATCCAAAGGAGGAATGACCAACAATTTGGCACTGCTTGAATGTTCTCAGTTAGACATCGAAAGTACATAGAAAAAATACAAGGAAGACAGACACAAACGCAAAAAAAAGGGGGCGGGGAAAGGAAGGACCACTTTCAAAAATAGACATACATACATAAAACAGTGTGTGTGTGTTGTCATTTTTGCTATGCACAACTCCACGACCAACGGCATGACTGTGCCAGACTGTTTTGTTGGACTTTCACAGCGCGCGTGTGCGTGTGGTGATGTTATTACCGCAACTTGGCGGGAGCAACAGAACACATTAATAAATGTGTAACTGTATAGTTTAGATCACTTATTTGTATGTGAACATTGTGAAGGGATTTCACCACTGCCGCCTTGTTCCTAGTCTCAAGTCCCAGTCTTGAATCCTAGTCCTTTTTTCATTGCCGGCCATAGGTGCATGTATGACTATTTACGACTCTTTTGGTAGGATAGCCCAGTCGTGTGTACAATGGTTAAGATTGCTCTAGAAACAGTAGCTTTCATATGTTACTATAATTAGGCTAGCTTTAAACCACTAGTACATGGCCCCAGCCTTGCAGAAAGTTTGTGTCGCCACAATCCAAACTTGGAGGTGCTGTGCGGCCAGGCCCGCCGTTGGAAAAAAAAAATCGGCGCCCTCCGAACTAGTCCGAAGTGATGCGGGTTTCATGTTGAAACCCGCGGGCCGATATGTGGTGTACTGGTGCTTTAAGTGAGTTGTGGTACAAGTCCCTGGCTGATAACAGTTATGGGTCGGAGCAACAATAGGCTTAAGCAGAGACAGCAGGAATTGCCTGGAACCGTTAGGCCAAGTGCCCTTTGGTACAGTCAAGCAGCCAAGTTGAAGGGGGAGTGTTTGTTTGTTTGTTTGTTTGTTTGTTTGTTTGTTGTTTCTTAATTTCGTGAAGTGAAGAGGAAGTTAAAAGAAGAATGATAAAAACGAATGGTTTCGGGATACTCTTCATTTTTTGTCCTGTGTATTTTTATTCATCGTTTGTTTCGCAAAGTGCACTCTTTTTAGTTCATCGATTCGTGAGAATATATTATATATGTTGGGAAAGACGCTCAGCGCCTCTCACAATGGAAGCTGGCTCGGCGGGACAAGCAAGGCAACACCAGCCAAGCTTCAGTAGTAGTTATGGATTCGTACATCTGGGCCTAAGCCCTCCTCCGTGCCAGCACGGATTCGAACTGCCGATATCGGCCTCAAGAAGTGCCAAGTATCGTAACCACTACAGCCAGGACACTGTGTTCACAAGTACAGCCATACCTGTCATGAATCATGATATCCACCTGACCCCTGCAAGGCCGTAGTGTCGAACGCGACGCGCACCGCAGTCAACGACGTACCAGCCAAGCTGCAACCGGTGCTTGCATTTTTGCTGTTCTTGTTTTGCCTTCTGCTTTTTTTTGTTCAGTTTTGTTAACTTCTTTTTGTTTTCTTTTGCCTGCGTTCGGTTTTATTTTTGTATTTTCCTATTTTTGCCAAAACTTTGAAGCTTTTTCCTCCTCTTTTTTTTTTTTTTTTTTTTTTTTTTGAATTGCTGTGGCTTTTCCTCCTGCAGGAGAAAGTGAACAAGGATTTTCAGAACTTCAAGTACGAGCAACCTTATCAGCATGCCTTGTACACAGCTTCGGTTATACTTGAGCACAAGCGCTGGCATATGCATGAATACCTTGCAGTCATTCCAGACTTGGAGGCGGAGGATCTATGTGCCCTTTTCCCGAAGCTCCTTTCGCGCATGTTCCTAGAGTGCTTTGTTACAGGTACAGAATCTATGTATGTATATAATAGTGTGAAGTTATTAATATACCTTTCATTGTTTTCAATCCTTTTGAATACTTATAGCTACATGTTTGAAGAGCGTTGGATGCGCGACACGGCTTGTAAACAGTGCATGATATCGGCATTTTTGATATTCACCGAGTTGTCTTGCAAGGTCTTCTGCCCTTTTGCGCATATGCCCCTGCTTCCCTAATCGTGGAGTGAAAGAGTCCCTTGCCTATCAGCCAATTTAGGCTCATAGCTGTAGTTTTGACTGTTTCAAAGGTTTTTATATATATGTAATTTTTTTATTTTAAGAAAGATCTGATTCTGGTCATCCGGTAGCATCTGGGTTTGAGCTCAGGTCTATATTTCAACAGTTCATGAGTGCACCAACTGAGCTAGGCGCATTGGTACATGGTTTTTAGGAACTTTTTACTCTTTAGAAATAGTTCTAAGCATGTTTTGGCATTCATATATTGTTTTGCTGGCTTGTGATGGGGTGTGAACCGACTCTCTGTAGAGTTTTCCATCTGGTGTGGGTGAGTCATAGAGTCTGCTTTGATTTTCGTCACAGGTACCTTGAGGGCAGTGGTTGGTGGTCCCCACCACCTCAGAGGGGTATCAGTTGCCGGGCAGTCGTTGACGCTTAACCATAACCGGGGTTAAGGTGTGTTATCACTGACACGGTCTTACAGTGTAGTCAGTTAGGGGATTCTGCAGACTGTTGAGGGTTCAGCCTCCTGATGAGTCGGTGACACTCCGATGAAACAGTTTGTCACAGCCCCTTGTTTGTTGTCCTCTTCTCCCTCTCTGCCTACGTTTCACCGGGCAGCTCTGTTTGACGATTTATATGTATTGCCAAACAGAACTGCCTGGTAAAACCCCTAGGTCTGCTTTTTGCTGTTTATTTCTGCCTTCTTTTTTTTCGTGTCCTTTTGCTGATGAAGGTGTGTTCAATCTGCTGTTGTTCGGCACATTCATGCATGGTGGATGATGTGGGATCGAGGATCGTTCGTGTGCGGTTGGCGGACACTGTGCTGCTGTGCGGTTGACGATGCGTATGGGCCAATATGCAGGCAATCTATCCGTCTCCGAGGCAGAGTCGCTAGTCGAGAGAGTGGAGAAGTTGATGGCGACAAAGCCCAAACTGAAATTGAGGGCTCTTTTCCCATCCCAGCACCTGGAAAGGCGTATAATCAAGCTAGATGCGGGGAGCGCTTTCTCCTACTCCATGCCCTGCTCAAATCCATCGAACGAGAACTCTGCATTGCAGTTTTACTTGCAGGTGATGATCTCTCTACTCTACCCCCTACTTTTTTTTCTCCTTCTAGTTTGGTCCTTTCTTTGCGACCACTCTTTCTTTGCTGTCAATATCATTTTTTGTTGTTCTCTTGCTTTTCCAGGCTCCTTTCGGAGTCTTTTTTTTCACCTTTTTGGCAGTTTTGCTGAAATTTTGCAGCAATTTCACGGAATTCACTTTTGTGGCCTCAGATTTGGTGGCGGATTTCATGGTCCTGACGACTCAGCCAAAAGATTTTTGTATTGCAATGCTGCATAACATATCTTTTTTTATATCTTTTTCAAAATATATAAAAAATGCAGGCTGTCTTCTCCTCATCTGGGGGGACAGCTGCATTTACTGTGCTATTTTCTTCTCTCAATATTTTCCATCTCACACTACCTACCTCTGGCGGTGTACTGGAACTGGTCTACCCACCGTCCGGACCTGCAAGGGGCATGACAACCCAACCAGCAAGGAAACAAGCTCCATGTTTCGAAGGAGAACTACAAGGTCAGGATCGAAGACTACACGTTATCTTCCTATGGAAACAGCATAGAAGCTTAACCTAACTAGCCAAAGCTAAGCTATCCTAAGGTTATGGGTCTACGCCCACCTATCTCTGCTCTGTGCGGGGAGCCGTACCCAAGCTCCTAACACCTGGCGCGGGCTGGAAAGAACTTCCACAACCAGCCAGGAGGCCCAAGCCAACAATCTCCGCGGGTGAACCCGAAGCATATCCCCACGAGGTCGCAGGGATCGAAAGGACGACGTTGGGTATCGAATCCGCGACCTTCCAGTTAACGTGCTCCACCAACTGAGCTAGCCCGCTTGGGCTTTTCAAAGGGGGGCGTGGGGGAACGGATCCGTACACTCTGGACCGGACATCCAGACCCAGACCGTCTGCACTGCGGTCCGCACATCCAGATCGTAACCATACTCCATATCCCCCACCCAATTTTGGAAAGTCTGACAGATTGATGGGATGAGGATTGAATCGGATACAGCCGGGAGCCTCATATTGATCTCCGTCAACGGCGTCAAGGTTCGTGAACTCCCCCGAAGATGGCGGAAAACTGGCGTGGGCCAAAACATGTTGCAAGCTGCCAGCAAGGGAGTTACGGTCCGCACATCCGGATCGTAACCCCCCACCCAATTTTGGAAAGTCTGACAGATTGATGGAATGAGGATTGAATCGGATACAGCCGGGAGCCTCATATTTGTCTCTGTCAACGGTGTCAAGGTTCGTGAACTCGCCCGAAGATGGCGGAAAACTGGCGTTGGCCAAAACATGTTGCAAGCTGCCAGCAAGGGAGTTACCGCGTTGTGTACACCGTTTTGAGTTGGTGGCGGTGTGTTGGTATTATCCTTGTCGCCGTTGTCGCCCCCACCCAGTGTTGGAAAGTCTGACAGATTGGTGGCGGTGTGTCGGTATTATCCTTGTCGCCTCGCATTTATCTGCGTCAACGGCGTCAAGGTTCGTGAACTCCCTGGAAGATGGAGGAAAACTGGCGTCGGTCAAAACATGTCGCAAGCCGCCATCAAGGGACTTATCGCCTTGTGCACACCGTTTTGAGTTGGTGGCGGCGTGTCGGTACTATCCTCGCCGCCGTTGCCTGTTGACTTTGCGCTAGCTTGGGGCGATACCTAGGCGTCGTTATGTCACCGGGTGCGCGTCAACATTCGGTGATTTCCATGTACTTCCACGATATTATTTTTGAGAAATCCTCGACAGGCGCTGTGCGTACAAGTGTCCAGGTTCATTTTGGTTGCATTTGGCTGACTTAGTCGTGGGTCGACTCTTCCTTTCTGTCGTTGAGTAGTCACCCATGTGAGCCAGTGTGATGTTGGTCTGATCATTGAATCCGATTGTTGTCGGTACGTCATCGTTCGTATCTCAACGGACTGGAGATTCGAAACCACAACCTGGGGCTGGTCAGTTTAATGATGATATATCTCAAGGTGGTTGCCCCCCTTTTTCCTTATTAGGGGGAAAAAAGAAAGAAAAAAAGAAAGAAAGATGCGAATCAGACACTTGTCTGAGAAGAAACTCCACAGTCAATCGACAAGCTGGTTCTGAAAGTCGTTCAAGGCAATCTGGTTTGCAATCGACAAACTGGTTGTGTTCCCAATTGACAAACCTGCTTGTTATCGCAATCGACAAGCCGGTGTTCACCGAGTTTGAATCCAGAACCTGGGTCTTGGTTATCAATTCCAAGACCGCCGCGGTCTACTAGAGAATCGCAGCTGTCAGTATTTCCAATGAAGTTTTCTTTCTGTTTTGAAGTGTTTTTTTTTTGTTACTCTTTGATATCTGCTATTAGCTATTTAACCCTGATTTAACCCTGATTTAACCCTGATTTAACCCTGGTTTAACCCTGATTTAACCCCGAGGCTACCAGCCGGGCCGCACGGGTCATCTTGTTTTCCTGGGTGGCCCAGCGGGAAAAAAAAGTGAAAAAAAACAAAAAAAAAACTGTGTTATGCAGAAAAATAGACTAATAAACTGAAGAACTTTTGCCTCGGGGCCACATCAAAATTCTTCACCAAAAGAATTAAAAAATCTAATATTTTTATTGTTTTTTTTTTTTTTTGGCCCAGCTGGGCAAGTGGTCCCAGGCCACTCTGGTAGCCTGATTTAACTCTGATTTTAGCCTGATTTAACCCTGGTTTTTGCCTGATTTAACCCTGATTTCAGCCTGATTTAACCCCGATTTTAGTAGCTATTTAACGCAGATTTAACCCCAATCTTTCTGTAAACTTTGTGTTGATGTCATTGATGTATGTCAGGTTGGACAGGACAAATGTCGGCTGAATGTTCTTGGGCAGCTCTTCGTTCAGACAGCAAAGCGTGATGCATATTACCAGCTTCGATCCATCGAGCAGCTGGGCTACATTGTGTTCCTCCTGCCAAGGTGCGTACAGAACTCCCTTACTCTCCGGACAGTCCGTGCACATGAACCAATGCAATGAGCAAAAGCAAAAGCTAAAAAAAGAAAAAAGAAAAAAGGAGGTTACTAAATAGTAAAAACGCTTCAACTGTCTAACAATGTTTCCTTCTGCCAAACTCCCAAAGCACAATCCGTGCAATTGAACGAAAGTAAAGAACAGCAAAAAGAATGGCAAATAGTGTGAAAACGGTGCCCATAGATACACGTACATGCATCAACAGATAAGCACTACGCTTCCGCATGTACAGTTCGCTGTAGAAATTGGAAAGAAAAAGAGAACTCGTCTAAGTAGAAACTTTGTGTTTCCTCCACGATGCTTAGCAGAATACCAAACTGCCTCAGGACAGCGTAGCGTAATTTGTTCCAAAGAGACGCTGTAATTTGTTCCAAAGAAACAAAAGATTCCGCAAAGCGGCGTACATCCCGTGACAACAGAATCATCGTCACAGAAAAGGCTAAGGTAGAGATCGCTAGACACACACACACTGACTGAGTTCAATGGATTGAAGCTAATATGCCAGTTTGGAACAGATTAAGAAGGCGAAGAACCACCAACCACTTGCCGTTCCATCTGCAATGGCCGATATTGACATTTATGATAACAGCTACTGGTCTGGCCTAGCTCCTACGCGTTCCTGCTAGTGCCAGTAGCTAGCTTCATCAGCGGGATCTGCCCGGCTTGAAAGGATAGAGGAACCCTACCCTACCCTACTCTATCCTACCCTACCCTAATCTACCCGACCTTACCTTATTCTGCCCTTCCCTTCCCTACCATACCCTACCCTACCCTACCCTACCCTACCCTACCCTACCCTACCCTACCCTCCCCTTACCCTTTCCCTAACCCTACCCTACCCTACCCTACCCTACCCTACC